GGCTCAGTTTATATGGATAGTTTTTATTTTTTACAACAACAAGCTGCCATGAAAACAAGCAGAAATTAAAGTAACAACTTTATGCTTTGTGCCTTTTTTCAAAATGTAGTGAGTAGAAGTAAAAAGTAGGCTGAAAAATAATTACTCAAGTCAAGTACAGATACCCAAAAATTCTACTTAAGTACAGTAAAGAAGTATTTGTACTTAGTTACTTTATATATATTGTTCTCCATGCATTTTTAAAATTAAAAACCAAATTAACAATTTAGTTAATTTTTCTGAGGACCCCCAAGATACCTCTCGCGGACCCCTGGGTGTCCTGGAACCCCTGTTTGAGAACCTGTGTAAGAAGATGTCAGAGTTATATCAGCGGATAATAAAATGAAAGAATATGCAGAAACCAAAGACCAAGTCTAAGTAATTAATCCATTTTTTAAAGTTTGCATCAGCACATATAGGTGATAAATTCATTAGAATGAACCTTTAAATTATTATGTTGTGATATTTTGCTAGGTATGCATATGAACATGATACAACTTTAGGGATAATTCAGTTCAGTTTATTTATATAGCACAAAATCACAACATATTGTCTCAGGGCAATGAACATAAAAGAAGAACAATGTTTCAAATATCCTTTTGTTTTTCCTCCATATGAGCAAATATTTTACAGTAATATTACTCAAATGTTAAACTGTCAAACTGTTAATGCAGAAAACAAAGTGCTAAATCATGCACCGAAGTAGTGTTGTTCTGTTCACCAATTATGTATTGTTACAAAAAATAATAATAATAATAATTGAAGCTGTCTTATCTCAGTGTAATATATAATCAACATCATCTGATCAGCAGACCTCAAAGTGCTGCGGTACGTCTCTCATTGCAGCACTTCAGGAAGACATGATGTGACAGAACTGTTTAAATACTTAAATTGTGTAATTTTAAATTGCAAAAGAGTTTGAAACCAGCRAAGGAAAGAAATATCCAGGGAAATGTTTTTCTTTTTCTGTATCTGTAAACAACTAATCTTCYGCATTTTGAACCAGTTTTTTTAAACCAGAAAATGAGCATCAACAGCCTGATTAACTCCAAAATGCAGCACAGTGCAGTAATCAAGCAGAAATGTAATAAAAGCAAATATTATTGTCTTAAGATTTMTTTTAGATGAGCTTCATTTTAGACAGTTATCTTAAATGAAAGAAGCAGGATTAGACCGTTCTTTTACAGAAATGGTTATTAGGGAAGAATTGTATTTTATTTTTAAGCCACCTTTTCTAATTAGAGGTAACAGTAAATTTTCAGATTGCCTTTTTAGTCAGTGTAGCATTTAAAAGTGTTAAAAGTATTTGTTTTTGAGATGTGTTTAAATACAAAAAGTTTTCTGCTTTAAAACTTATTTGTGGATTGAAAGAGCATGCATATGACAGGTATCGACCGTTCATATCACTAACACAGAGACAAACATTTCTGTTTTTATGTTTATGCGCAGGTCTTCAGTGAAACAGCTTCATCTGTAAAATGTCGATGGTGTTGTTCGCCTCTGTGGTTCGGGTTACGGACGGCCTGCCTCTCTCAGCATCCACTGACTATGAACAGGAAAAAGAGCTTCAGGAAACCAAGAGGCATCTCAAAGGTCTMTCCAAGAAACTCCTCCAGTTCCCTGACCGCTGCACGCTTAAGTCTGGACAGTACAACGTCAAGTAGGTTCTGCTCTTTGCTGATTTCAGCCCAAAATCTCACTTTGAAAGAACTGCTGTATTATTGGTTATGAACTCCGGTTGTGTCCTTAAAAGAAACTCTTCATCACCTATAACTAAAGTTTATTTGATTTAAGAAAATATTTAATTGATTAGTTTAAATTTTAATTATGTTAAGATTAAATATAAAATACAAGTAACTACAAGAGACATTTAGATTAGATTTAAGCC